AAACGGTTCATTTGCTTTTATATGTAATTCCCTTTTAAAATCGCGTCATCAGATCTTAACAAGAACGAAGCAAGGGGCAAATTGTTTTTGTTTCGAAAAAATAACAAAATTCGTATTGCATTTGCGCCGAGGGGAAGTTCTAAGGGATAACGAAACACGAGAAGACATCACATTATGGTAATTTGGCATTCTACAAATTCTCCTTTCAACACTGATCATGTCAAACTGCATTCGGTTACTAAAACATTTCTGATAATTTCTTTTTGAGAGTGCTAAAGCCTCAAAAGTTAGGCATTTTCCCTACGCAAAAGTTTCGCAGTAGCTTCGGCAATTTCCGAATATTACCGGTACTTTCCGAAGACATCCGAATATGCGCCACTCGGCGGAAAACTGAATTATCATAAATGCAAAGACTACAATTTCAGAATTGTGTTGTGGTTTTACAAGTATTTTTTGTTGAGCATGGGGAGAATTTTGTAAAGAATGAATGAAAAATTACGATGGAGGTGGAAACGTGGAAATCTGAGCGTAAACTTAGATAGCAACGTTCAGCATAGGAAGAGCTCTACTGGCTATTTAACGTGGATTTCTTGTCACTGGTCGCTTTGAGGCGAATCCTCACAATTTCACGCAACACAGGTTTCTCCGACAACCTGCGTTTGAGATGAGAAAAATGGCTGGGTTTAGATGTCCTGCTTCTCCTCCGCCTCCAGATCTCTCCAATCTAACGGAGGAAGAGAAAGAGATCATCCAGTCTGTGCTACAGCGACAGAAACAAATGGAAGAAGAGACGACACAGCTGCAATTGTAAGCCAAGCGTTCATGTTTATGTCGCCATGTTATGTGTGGAGTCTAGGTGCTGCATCGTGGCGCGTGTTTTTAAGGCACTTCTTCAGTGAATTCGTATCGTTTACGAAGAAAAACCGTGTGAATTACATTTAAGATACGGTGTAATATTGCACTGGTTTAGTCTTCCGTTGTATTTTGCATGCTTGGCTGGAAATTAAACAAGTTTATGCCTTCGCATGTTTTTGTTGTAGATCGCTCCAGAAAGAAGTGGAAAGCTATCAACATAGAGTTGAAAGGAAGACTGCTCAGTCGGAAACTGTGTCTAAGGCTGAAAATGTCTGTGAAATTTGCCATAAGACAAAGTTTACGGACGGAACGGGAAGGGAATGCAAGTATTGTAAGCTTAAAGTCTGCGCCCGGTGTGGAGTGCAAGTCACAATTCCTGGGACGAAACAGGTGAATACGAAATTCTTTGAGCATTTTCTACAGAGAGAAATGTGTAAAAGATACTATTGTTAAGTTAGGCGTCATTTACATTTTCTCTTTATTTTCTGAAATAATTTTTTGGACCGACTAAAGGTTCTATTTATGGGCTTAGGAAATATAGGTTTTGTAGTGGTCGCTTTCGCCAGTATTGAAATTAACTTGATATTATTTTTAACTTTTTTTCTCCCTTCCGTTGGACGCTTGGCTGATTTATTGCACCGATGTCCACTCAGGCTTCGGTAAGTCAAAATATAATTTTAATCTCTTATTTTTACACCTTAACATTTTATTTCAAGGCTTGAGATCTCGAAAAACATTTGGTGAAGGGTTGAGGCTGATGATAGTAAACACACTGTTGACAGCTAAAGCTTTGCTCATGTATTTTTAAAAACTTCCACTTTGTGGATTTAGCTGTATTAGAATTTCTTATTCAGTCGAGCTTGAACAATTTTATCTGTGAGATTTATCGGTGATTTATTCTCGGTGGCGTAAACTTTAAAATAGTAATAATCTCTTATTATTACTCTAGCTCAGGGTAAAAATTCTTCTTGGACTGTTTTTGTCGACGTGTGTTTTGTGACAGAACTGAAAGCCTCCAGTATTACATTTCATCTAACTTATTTATAATTCTGTTCCGCCGATTAAGTTTTATAAATATTCGAATTTTAAGGCGTTTTATTGAATCCCCCTACAAGCTAACCTCATAGGGTACTTACGGTAAATGGTTTGCCTTCTTTATTTCGGAAGGAGTGGAAAATGTCTTAATTTGAGGCGATTTTTTTGTAGCAGTGCTTTCTATGTCCACAAACGTAGACGATGGTTGATGTACAGGTGAAAATGTTGACCCACCCAAGTTTTTTTCTTGGCAAACATGAGCCTACTTGTTTCAAAATAACGCGTCCAAAATGTTGATTGGCGAGAAATTTCTACCGAGAATGTTTTTCAACAGCGTTTTATGCTAAAGATGTGGTGAAAATATGTAACATTTGTGTACTTTTTATTCGTTTCGTATGTTATTGGTTAAAAACATCCCGGTCAGTGGATGTATTGTATTTGGAGAACCTGCAGTGTGTAAATAATGGTACATTTTACTGATTTCTTATTTGCCTCTGATCTCTTGGTTGAAATAACTGCTTGGCACAACCCAATATTGGATACTGGAAATTTTTTATATTGTGCACTTTTTTGTTTTAGTTCTGGATATATCTTAAGTATACATGTGATTATTTAAATATGATCAATATGCATAGCATTCAGTATAGGTACTTTTCTGTATTGTAATTTTCTTCAGCTATCTAAAAGTTGTGTAGATGACAACCTTTTTAGCTCTTGCGTAAAATTTTCACTTTTTATATACTTAAGAATATTGTCTTTGTCTTGGGAAGAATCATATTTTGACAAATTTTGCATTCACCTCGTATCGTTGATTATTCAATACAGTGAACAAAACCAAATTTCTTGGTTTATTATTTGTCGCCTTAACCACAGGGTCATTTCCTTTCTTAACCTTTTCACTCACAATTACAATAATATAAATTTAAACTTTTATGAGACTGTATAAATTAGACTAGATTTCAATCAATTTCTCGTTGAAATTACTTTTAGTTTTCTTTGACGCCTCTTAAGCCTTCAGTGCTACAGTAGAGGATAAGATACACATCAAAATCAACCAGCTTGTGTGGTTATGTTCCAAGAAATCATGCTATGTACAGTAAAAAGACGGAAAAAGTGTAGATAACATAGTGATAACATCTTGCTTTACGTCAAATGCCATTTCATTAGAATGTTCCTCTTGAAAAATTTTCTTGTTGACAGTCATGGCATTTTGGCACAGTCCAATTTTTATACTTGATTAAAAACCTGAAGAGAGGTTATCTTTCTAGATTAAGTAGTTGTTGAATTTCAGAGTTTCAGACTTCTATATTGTAACATTGGTGGCAACAATTGCCTTTGGAAGTCTATTAAAAATTCAAGGAACCCAAAACATTAATTATAAACTGAGATAGTCTCTTTCTTGGAGATTTGTTAATGTGCCAAGAGGAATTTCCATGTTTTTTTTCTAGAAGCTTTCTGTCAATTCTGTTATTGTTGGGTTGTCATTAAAATGTGTCTCAGTGAAGTGAATTTGTCAAATAACAACAGGGTTGGGTTGTTATCAGATCAGTGCGATTCATTGATACAAATGTACTCCTGCACATGATGAAAAGTTACTTTACAACAAAACATTTTTCTTAGAACTGTAAGAATACTTGAATCAGGTTTGGCACTAAGCCAGCTGTGGATATTTTGCCACCAAGTTTTCAAATATTTATCACAATTTGTGGGTGCAGCTTTCTGCCCTAAGCAGGAATTGAGTTTTCATTGTCTAGTTTTAATTAGAACCGTAACACACCATTAAGTTTTGAATTATAGTGATTAATATTTCGGTCCACATCACAAGAGTTATTTCCTCTCAGAGTTCTTATGATTGCTACAACTAGCTGTAGGGGTCCTGCTTGATTGCAGTTACCAAATCACACACACCAAAACACCAAGATTTACCATTTCAAAACCTTTTTTAAAGCCCTGTTGAAGCAATTTCATAATGCTTCACATCCAGTAATTATAGTCTTTTGTTTACTCTATTCTGTAAGTTAAATTTGTCTGATTGTCTCCTGATAGTTAAACTGATGTTTAGACTGCTGGTCTGTTTTTCAAACAGTACCGCCAAGATGGTACGCAGTTTGAAAACAGCAGATTACTTGAGTATTACCCTGCGGCAATAACTGTTTTTAATTGCAAAGTCTGAGAACTAAAACATCCAAAGTGCGTTTTTCATACTAGTCTACATTTTAGGCAAAATAGCATTCTCTCTGTGGCGTCTTTAAGTTGTGATTGTTCCTTACCTTCAGAATCTTGTTTATTTAAGAAATTAATTTCGATCCACAAGATTCTCTATCAATAAAAGGACTGTCCCAATTGGTTCATAAAAGTGATTTATTCACGTGTCTCAAGTTAATATAGAAATTTTGTTGTATGGACTGGGGCAGATACAGAGTTTACTCTTAATGAGTAGAAAAAT